TGTCTTGAGGAGAAACAAACAGCAAAAGTCATAGCCCACAGTAACAGAATGTGCTTGTTGTCTCAACTACTAGGAAGTCTAAAACAGGAAGATTGCTTGAGTCAAAAAACTTAAGGCCAGGGGGTTGGAGAGATGGCTCAGAGGTTAAGAGCATTGCCTGCTCTTCCGAAGGTCCTGAGTTTAATTCCCAGCGACCACATGGTGGCTCACAACCATCTGTAATGAGGTCTGGTACCCTCTTCTGGCCTTCAGGCATATATGCAGACAGAATATTGTATACATAATAAATAAATAAATATTTTAAAAAAAAAGAAACCTGGAAAGTGAACTCACACTGACACCTTCATTAAAAAAAAAAAAAAAAGCTTAAGGCCAGTGTGGGCAAAATTGTGACACCATGTCTCAGAAAAAAAACAAGTGAATGAAACAAACTCTAGGAATCATCATTACCTACTATGAAAATGTGTTTTTCAGGGGCTGGATAGATGGCTCAGTTGTTAAGAGTAACTTGTTTTTGCAAAGGACTCAAAAGTTCTATTCCTGGCACCATGTGTTAGCTCACAGACCATCTGTAACTCAAGGTCCCTCTTCTGGCCTTGACACTGACATACAGATGGTTTTTAACTGTGTGGGTGTTGGACATGGATTCCAGGTGTTCGTTTCTAAACCACCAAACCATCTCTTCCACCCCTTAAGGATTTTTATTTATTATTATTTTTTTTTTTTCAGATAGGCATAGTAGCCTATGCCTTTAATCCTAGCAACTGGGAGGCAGAGGCAGGCAGATTTCTGTGCTCCAACAGCAAACTATCTTCCTTGCCTGGAACATCAGATCCTGTTCAGTCCTTTTCTTCCTTCAAGGCTCTAAATAGTTTAATTTAAAAAAAAAAAAAAGCAAAAAAAAGGGCTGGAGAGATGGCTCAGAGGTTAAGAGCACTGGCTGCTCTTCCAGAGGTCCTGAGTTCAATTCCCAGCAACCACATGGTGGCTCACAACCATCTGTACTGAGATCTGGCCTCCTCTGGCGTGCAGGCATACATCGAGGCAGAATGTTGTATACATAATAAATGAATCTGTTTTAAAAAAAAAAAAAAAAAAAGCCAGCCGGGCGGTGGCGCACGCCTTTAACCCCAGCACTCGGAAGGCAGAGGCAGGCGGATCTCTGTGAGTTCGAGACCAGCCTGGTCTACAAGAGTTCCAGGACAGGCTCCAAAATCACAGAGAAACCCTGTCTCGAAAAACCAAAAAAAAAAAAAAAAAGGCAAACCAAATTGTGGCAGCACACATCTTTAAATCTGTTTTATTTATTTGTTTATTTATAGGTTTTTCAAGACTGGGTTTCTGTGTAGCTTTGGAGTCTGTCCTGGAACTCATTCTGAGTAGTCCAGGCTGGCCTCGAACTCAGATCCACCTGTCTCTGCCTCCTGAGTGCTGGGATTAAAGGCATGCACCATTCACTGCCCTACTTTTAACGTGTTTAAATCTTTAATCCTAGCTCTCCAGAGATAGAGGTATGTAGATTTCTGTGACCACACAGAGAAACGGTTTTGAATAACAAAAGCAAATTTTTTAAAGGTTTATTTATTATGTATACAACATTACGTCCATGTATGCTTGAATGCCAGAAGAGTGTACCAGATCTCATTACAGATGGTTGTGAGCCACCATGTGGTTGCTGGGAATTGAACTCAGGACCTCTAGAAGAGCAGTCAGTTCTCTTAAACACTGGGCCATATCTCCAGCCCACAAAAAATTTTAACTGGCATAATGATTCATTATCTTCCCAACTTTCGAAGCTGAGGTAGGATAATCTTGAATTCAAAGCCAGTTTAAGCTATGTATCAAGACCCTGATTCAAAAGAAAAAAGAATTATAAATCATTGTGTCTGTAGAATATTATTATTGATTTATCCAGTGCCAGCATCCTGGATAATATTTATGTTTAAAGAATACAAGTTTTCAGTGGAATATCTAAGTTAACTTTTGTTTTACAAAACTTGTATCAGTACAGAATGTTTATGTGTAAATGCCACATGTGTGCAGGTAACCGCAGAGGCTGGAAGAGGGCATTACTTCTCCCTAGAGCTGGGTTGTTAAAGGTGTTGTGGGCTGCCTGACTTGTTGCTATCTTCTAAAAGGTACTGGTTGCATTCTAGCCACTGAGCTCTCTCTGTGTTTTTTTTTTTTTTTAATATTTATTTATTTATTTATTATTTATACAGTTAGCCAGAAGAGGGTACCACACCTCATTACAGATGGTTGTGGGCCACCATGTGGTTGCTGGGAATTGAATTCAAGACCTTTGGAAAAGCGGGCAATGCTCTTAACCGCTGAGCCATCTCTCCAGCCCTCTCTGTGTTTTAAGAATTTGTTTCCTGTTTATTCATCATCTTTTCCCTAAAGCTTTTGACAACCATTGATAGTTTTCTAATGCCTTGTAATTTTTCCTTTTAAGGAATGTCAGATATTTGGAATAGCTATTTCCATTGCTCCTGCTTTGATTGATTAATTAAATGATTGATTGATTGATTGATTGATTGTCATTGTCTCACTGTATAGTGAGTCCTGGCTAGTCGGGAACTTAGAGGTCTACCCACTTTTGCCTCTAAAGTGTGCCACCATGTCCCAATTGGAATGATTAATTGTTTATCTTTTTTGTGATTGATTTTTTTAACTAGCAGTGTGCACTTGTATCCTGTGTTTTTTGTTTGTATGTTTGAGGCAGGGCCTAACATTTCCCAGACTGGCCTCAAACTGTGTAGTTAGGGTGACTGAGTTTATGATCCTCCTGGCTCCATCACCCAAGCTCTAAGAGTTTTAGGTGTTTGCTATCATCCCTAGTGTAGATGGTGGTGTGGGTATTGGACCCTTCATAGATGCTAGACAAGTGCTTTACCATCTTTTTCGTTTTTCTATTAAAAAAAATTTTTTTTTGTATGTGTAGGTGTTTGTCCTGTGTGTATATCTTGTGTGCTGTGTATGTATGTGTGGTGGGTAGGCAGAAGAGGACATCTCCTAGAACTGGAGTACCTGCTTGTGAGCCACCATGTTACTTCTAGAAATAGAACACGGGTCCTCTGCTACAGCAGGCACTTCTCTTGATTGCTGAATCATCTTTCCAGCCCCTTTATGACAAGGTCTGGAAAAATGGCTCAGTGGTTAAGAGCCCTGGCTGTTCTTTAAGAGGACCTGGGTTCAATTCCCAGCACCCATATGGCAGCTTACAATTGTCTGTAACTCCAGTTCCAGGGGATCTGGCACCCTCATACAGACACACATGCGGGCAAAACACCAATACATCTAAATTATTAAAAAAAAAAAGACAAGGTCTTATTAGCTCACATTGTTCTCAGATTCATTATGTAGTACTTAACTATTTTATTGTTTTGTTTTGTTTTTTTTTAATATTTGTTTATTATTTATTTATTATGTATACAATATTCTGTCTGTGTGTATGCCTGCAGGCCAGAAGAGGGCACCAGACCTTATTACAGATGGTTGTGAGCCACCATGTGGTTGCTGGGAATTGAACTCAGGACCTCTGGAAGAGCAAGCAAAGCTCTTAACCTCTGAGCCATCTCTCCAGCCCCTGTTTTGTATTTTTTTAATTCTTCTTTGTGTGTGGTCCTGGCTATGGTGACACTCACTACGTAGACCAGGCTGTCCTCAAACTTAAAAAAATTGCCTGCCTCTGTCTCCTGATTGCCAGAACTGTTACAAAATTTTTAATTTGTATATTTCTGTGTTTTTGTATGGATATATATATATATGTAAATGCAAGTGACTCTGGAGGCCAGAAGTGGGTGTGGTCAGATTCTTGAAAGCTATAAATAGACAGCTAAACAAAGTGTCCTATGTGCCTTTGAGGTGTTATTAGGATGAATGCTATTCAGAAAAGCACGCCACCATCTCAAAAAACCAAAATAAAGCCAGGCAGTGGTGGCACATGCCTTTAACATCAACACTCAGGCGGTGGTGGAGCATGCCTTCATGCCTTTAATCCCAGCACCCGGGAGGCGGATCTCTTTGAGTTCGAGGCCAGCCTTGTCTACAAGAACTAGTTCAAGGATAGGCTTCCTACAGAGAAACCTGGTCTTGAAAAACAAAAACACAAACCGAAAAAGCACAGCATGAAACGCTTGTTAGATAAGGAACAGCCATGTATCATGGTGGAAATGAAAAAAATCACTAACATTAACATTGTGAGTTTAGCCTTTAAAAGCTGAGCCATTCCTCCAGCCCAGCACTACCATTTGGAAGACCACATTTTATTTTATTTTATTGGTTTTTTAAAAAAAAATTATGATTTATCTTTTATTTTATGTGCATTGGTGTGAAGGTGTCAGATCCCCTGGAACTGGATTTTCAGACAGTTGTGAGCTGCCAGGTGGATGCTGGGAATTGAACCTGGGTCCTCTGGAAGAGCAGTCAGTGCTCTTAACCGCTGAGCCATGTCTTCAGCCCCTTATTTGTTGGTTTTTCGAGGCACTCTGTGTAACAGCTCTGGCTGTCATGGAACTCACAGGGATCCACGTGCCTCTGCCTCCCAAGTGCTGGGATGTTAAAGGTGTGTGCCACTATCATCCTTAATACAACTTTATATTTACTGACACAGCATGAAAATTGAAAGTGTGTCCTTTGGCCTTATCATTCTTATTGTTCCACATTTTACTTCTTTGTTTTTGAGGAAAGGATTTACTATCTAGCTTAGGCTGGCACAGAACTCGGAGTGATCTCCCTCATGAGTGCTGTGAGTCTCCTGGCACATAATGCATGTTTTGCGTGCACACACCAGGAACAAATCAATGTTAAAAATGTTACCTGTGTTAGGACCGGAGTTGGCTCATCAATGCTCTTAAAAAGGACCTGGGCTTGTTTGTCCAGTCCTGACAAGGCGGCTCACAGCCATTTGTAACTAACTCCAGTTCTTGGGGATCTAACAGATTCTTCTGGCCTCCACAGGCACCAGGTGCATGAGTCCATACATATATACATACCTATAGGCAAAAATACATAAAACGAAATTAATAGTGAAAGTTAAACCATTAGGGTTTTGTTTAAATGTGTCGAAGTATTCCAGTTACTTAGAATACAATATAGTAGTTTTTGTTTTTTGTATTTTTGTTTTGTTTTGTTTCCTTTTTTGGATTTTTGAGACAGGGTTTCTCCGTAGCTTTTGGTTCCTGTCCTGGAACTAGCTCTTGTAGACCAGGCTGGCCTCGAACTCAAAGAGATCAGCCTCCCGGGTGCTGGGATTAAAGGCATGAAGGCATGCTCCACCACCACCTGTTTTTTTTTTTTTTAAGGAGTTTTAAAGAGTAAGACAAAGGACAAATAAAGTAAATTCAGTGCTTTTAAAAAACAGGACAGACGGCTGAGAAATGTTATTTCTTCTTATTCTTTTTTTTTTAATATTTATTTATTATGTATACAATATTCTGTCTGTGTGTATGCCTGCAGTCCAGAAGAGGGCACCAGACCCTATTACAGATGGTTGTGAGCCACCATGTGGTTGCTGGGAATTGAACTCAGGACCTTTGGAAGACCAGGCAATGCTCTTAACTGCTGAGCCATCTCTCCAGCCCCCAACCCCTCTTCTTATTCTTTTATAATTGTCTTTTCATTTAGCCCAGACATGGCCTAAAACTCCTGGTCATCTAGCCTCAGCCTTTTAGAACACAGATTATGGCACATGCTACCATAATGTGCTATGTTTTTTTATTTTGAGTCGTTATTGGGGACATTCCCCTATTCCCAGCACTCCTAGGAGAAGAAGGCAGGTGGACCTCTGAATGAGTTTCTATGAACTCCTATACGTGCATAATGAGTTCCAGGCCAGCCACAGGTACATGGTGAGATCCTGTCTCCATAAAAGAAAAATAAGTAAGTACAAATTCAGCACCATAAACAAGAACAAAAAGATCTTTAAAAAGAATCATTGTAAGGGCCTGATGTGGTGGTTCACACCTTTAATCCCAGCAGAGGCGGGGTGAACTTTTTTTTTTATTATTATTATTATTATGTATACAATGTTCTGTCTGTATGCTTGCAGGCCAGAAGAGGGCATCAGACCCCATTACAGATGGCTGTAAGCCACCATGTGGTTGCTGGGAATTAAACTCAGGACCTCTGGAAGAGCAGGCAAAGCTCTTAACCACTGAGCCATCTCTCCAGCCCGCGGGGTGAACTTTTGAGTTCAAGCTCTACTAGTCTACTTAGGGCATTTTAAGAAAGCCAGGGCTACATAGTGACACCTTGACAGACGAAGTAGAATCAGTGTGATCTGCAGATCATATCATTTCCTGTTGTGTTTTCCCAGTTTACAGACGGATCTTTGGGCATTTGGAATTTTTTTTTTAAAAGATTTTCTTTCTTATTTTGTATATAGTGTTCTGCCTGAATGTCTGCCTGCATGCCAGAGGAGAAGAGGGCATCAGATCTCATTATAGATGGTTGTCAGCCTGTGAGCCACCATGTTGTTGCTGGGAATTGAACTCAGGACCTCTCGAAGAGCACCTAGTGCTCTTAATGTCTGAGCCATCTCTCCAGACCCTTATTTGGAACTTTAAGTCGGTCTTTTAATATTATCATAGTAGTCTTTGGTAACTAGCTCCTTTGATCTGATTTAACAGAATATTCCTGTTTTATCTGAGGGATTTCTCTCATTGTAGAGTCTGTTTTTTCTGCCTGTATTGGGAGGTGGTATTTTAGCAATAAAATCAGAAGCTGTGGGTGATGATTTCTTCTAGATTAAGTTTGTGTCTCCTTTCTCCTGTGCTTTGAAGTCCTGGTTCTTAGGCATTTTAAAGTCCTTTTTGGATTTTCATCACAAGGGTTTTTTTTTCTTGTTTTTTGTTTTGTTTGGTTTTGGTTTTTCAAGACAGGGTTTCTCTGTAGCTTTGGAGCCTGTCCCGGAACTAGCTCTTGTAGACCAGGCTGGCCTCGAACTCAGAGATCTGCCTGCCTCTGCCTCCCGAGTGCTGGGATTAAGTTCAGGACAAGGTTTTTCTGTGTAGCTCTGGCTGTCCTGGAACTCGCTTTCTAGACCATATTGACATGGGAGGCAGAGGCAGGCGGATCTCTGAGTTTGAAGCCAACCTGTTCTACAAGAGCTAGTTCCAGGACAGGCACTAAAGCTACAGAAAAAAAAAAAAAAACGGAAAGGAAAAAGAAATGGAAGTGTATTAAGTATTAATAGAAAAGAGGACTGTTGGGCTAGGCTGTGTCGTGCATACCTTTAATCACAGCAGTCAGAGGCAGAGGCAGGCGGATCTCTTGTGAGTTCAAGGCCAGCCTGGTCTGTAAAGTGAGTTCTAGAACAGCCAGGACTGTTATACAGAAACCCTGTCTCACCAAAAAAAAAAGTAAAAAACAACAAAAAAAGAAAAGACTGTATTGAGCAAACTGTTTTTTCTTCCTTTTAGGAAGTGCCACCTTCACTTCCTGACTTTGGCATCTTCAAAGTCTTGGAGAAGTCGGCTGTGTCAGTTCATCTGCTAGACATGTCCCCAGCAAACAAATGCTTACACATCTGTAATGGCCTTGAGCACATGAAGGTGCCATAGTGGTCAAATTAAATGGCATGTTACTGCTTATCCAGGTTCAAGCCGTTGGTCTTTTGAACCTTGTAGCTATATGTTTACATGGGTATGAGTAATACCTGGTATTTTTTTGGAGGAAACATGTAGTTGTGCAAGTATCAGTCTTCCCTTTTGTTCATGAAATTGCCTTGCTTTCTAGAGATAGTGGATAAATATGTTCCAAGTCTCTACCCTAGACACCCTGAAAATGTGATCTAAGGACTGGAGAGATGAAGAGGTTAAAAGCAATTGTTGGACTTGCAGAGGATCTGGGTTCAATTTTCAGTGCCTACGTGGTGGTTCACAGCCATCCATAACTGAATTTCCAGAGCATCAGATGCCCTCTTCTGACCTTTACAAGCACCAAGCTGTTCACACAATGCATATACATACATACAAGCAAAACACTCATATGCATAAAATAAAATTAATTATAAAAAAAAGAAAATATGATCTAACCTTTCTTAAAGTAAACAGAGTTTGGGTTATAGCTTTATGGACTTCACTTTCCTTTTCTTTTTTTTTTTTTTTTGGTTTTGGTTTTTCGAGACAGGGTTTCTCTGTGGTTTTGGAGCCTGTCCTGGAAAAGGCGTGTGCCACCACCGCCCAGCTGAACTTCACTTTCCTTAAACACACATTTTGCGCTAATCATCTTTGATGTGTGTGGAGGAATTAGGTCTCAACATTCATAGAACCTATGGTTCTTCAGAACAACACCAACAGTGGCCACCTTGAAAGTTAAAGGGAAACAAGTAGTCATTATGGCGTCCTGCCCCACAAATGTAATTGTGAACCAGGGGTCTGTGCTTTAACTAGCTCTAGAGTTTTACTTTCTGGATTTTTGAGACACAGTTTCTCTGTGTAGCTTTGGAACTGGTCCTGGAACTCACTCTATAGACCAGGCTGGCTTTGAACAGAGATCCACCTGCCTCTGCCTCCCAAGTGCTGGGATTAAAGGTGTGAACCACTGTTGCCTGGCCTAGCTCTGGAGTTTTTAACCATACCCTAGGGATATTTCCTCTGTTGATACTGTGTTCCTGTGTAGTCCTTGTCCCTTCTGGTCCTTGTGTTTGTGGACCTCTGTCGTGCAGTTGTTGCAGTGGTGCTCTGTTCCACCTAGGCTATGTTCTGCCCAGCCACGTGACTGAAGAGATGCTGTGGGAGTGCAAACAGCTTGGGGCACACTCCCCTTCCACACTGCTGACCACCCTCATGTTCTTTAATACCAAGTAAGTGTTTTAGGAACTACCTTCTTAGCTGCTCCTGGCATTTACCCAGTGTGGATGGTGGTGACGCCTGGAGGACTTTTGTATCCCTCTGGCACATTTCAGAAGTTTGAGCTAGTTTGGGTTCCATTTGGCTGCAGTTTTGTATAGTGAGTGGTAAGATGCAGACCGCCTTGTGAGATCCCCCTCCAAATCCAAATCCATTTTAATATGGCTCTTTTCTGGACAATGGCATAGACATGACCCTGCTCAGATTCTGGGAGTGGGGGATGGTTCATCTGAGTCATTAATGGACTTGAGGTAAGTAGTCATCCTCTTGGCATCTCTCTTTTTGCCTTGCTTGCGCTTGTCCAGGTACTTCCTGTTGAAGACAGTAGATCAGCACATGAAGCTGGCTTTCTCCAAGGTCCTTCGACAGACAAAGAAGAACCCCTCAAATCCTAAGGATAAAAGCACGAGTATCCGCTATCTGAAGGCCCTTGGAATCCATCAGACTGGCCAGAAAGGTAGAGAAAGGAAACAGGAATGATAGCAACCATTACTGCTTATCCAGCCTGCCTTTGTCCTTATGGGGATGTGTGTAAGTTGAGGTTGTCTCGGTAGACATTGTCCATTTCCTTCTCCTTCACTAGAAACTGCAAACGTTTCTCATAGGCTCAGGGATACCCTGGAGAACAAAGCTTTTCTCTCTTCGTGTCCATGCTTCATCCTTTCCTCTCTCACCCAGTGTTTACTCATTGAGGTAGTTGAATGCTTAAAATTACTGATCTAGGTTTACAATTGTGGCTAGGTCTGTTTTATATGTTTGTTTTTAGTTATTTGTATGTGCATGTATGTGTGTGTTTACACCCACACACATGCATGTCCTTGCACAGGTACCACCTTGCAAGTGGTCAAAGGACAACTTGAAGGAATCAGTTTTCTCTTTCTGTTGAGTCTAGAAGGTTGAACTCTTGTTTGTTTGTTTAATAGTTACAGATGACATGTATGCAGAACAGACAGAGAATCCAGAGAATCCATTGAGGTGTCCCATCAAGCTGTACGATTTCTACCTCTTCAAATGGTGAGGAGGCTTTATATACTAACCATACAAGTGAATGTGTGTGTTGTATGTTGATGATAAGATAGGCTTGAACTCCTGATTCACCTCCTCAACACTGGAATTATAGGTGTGCACCAATAAATCTGACTTTCATATTTAGCTTTTGGAACTGATTTGCTCTCAGACTGGAACTACAAAATGCCTCCCCATGACAAGATGCACATACAGCATAAGCATACATTGGGGCTGGAGACATGGTTCAGAGGTTAAGAGCAATGACTGCTCTTCAAGAGGTCCTGAGTTCAATTCCCAGCACCTACACGATGGCTCATAACCATCTCTAATGAGATTTGGTGCACTCTTCTGGCATGCAGGCTTACATGCACACAGTTAGTGAAAGGAAGTGGTGGGTTGTGTTGCTCGGGATTAGCGTGCTTATCTGGTGTGCCCTGAACTGAATCCCAAGTACTACTAAAGAAATTAATTTTTTTATTTTGAAACAGGGACTCTTTGTAACCCAGGCTGTCCTGGAATTCACTTAGTCTAGATTGGCCTCAAACTTGACCTCAACAGAATCTACCTTTCTCTGCCTCTTGTGCTGGGACTAATGGTTGGTATATGCCATCATACCTGGCGCAAGAAGTAACTTTTGTTTGCTCTGCCAAAATGTGTGATATACACAGCACTGATATAAAAGGGATCACTGAACTCGTGAGAGCTGAATCTTTGGAGACAAAGTCTCCCTATGTAGCTTTGGCTGTCCTGGAATTCAGAAAACCACTGGCTTCCCACTCACAAGAAATGTGCCTGCTCTTGACCTAAGTTGTGGGATTAGATATGTGTACCGCAATGGCAGGCTCTGATTTTGACTTCATAGCCTAAACCAGGCGGTGGTGGCACACACCTTTAATGCCATCACTCAGGAGGCAGAGGCCAGTGGCTCTCTGAGTTCAAGGTCAGCCTGGTCAATTGAGCAATTTTCAGGGCAGCCAGGAGTGTTTCAGAGAAACCCTGTCTCAAAAAACAAGCAAGCAAACAAACAAAAAAGTCTGTTTTTTAATGACCATGGTCCTCTATCATTCTGCCTTAGATTTTGTTACTGCTGCTATCAACATAGTTGACAGCAACAAACATACATGTTCTGTCAGTTTTTTTTTTTTGTTCCAGTATGGTATATCTTATCCTCTTCATATCAACGTGAGAAGGAGCTTTTGTGGTTGGGGTCTTTCTGTTTATATCACCTGCACTGCTTTTTCACTACTCTGCCAGTAGTCTTTATAGTTGAACAGAACCTCTGCTGGGTTATATCTGCTCGTTCTGGCCCATAACCATACTTTGCATCCAAGGACACTAAGCTTTCTCGTCTCCACTGGACACAGCTCCTCCACTGAAGCATTTCCAGATCGCCTTTCTTTCCCTCCGACTAGTTCCTCTGTAGCCCTCAACTGCTATCATTTTTTTTTGCATGTATGTGTTTGTTAGTCAGGAATTATCTAGTAGTTGTTCTGCTCCCTTCTTTAACACTATACCTGACATAGACCTGGCACACATAACTCTTAATCACATGTGGAACAGATGGGTGAATGAATGTGAGGTGATGGATTGTACGAAGTACTCAAGAAAGAGGTACAGCACTGTAGGCTGTAGGGGAAGTGAGCCCAAACAATACATGTATTGGACGTGCAAACAACAATATGGTTAAACAGCTAGAGCTAGCTCTTCTAGATGAAGTCTGCTGCAGCTGGGATATAGATAGACTTATATATAAATTTAATTATATAAATATATATAAGTATGTATAACTAAATATATATTTAGATTTCTATATAAATCTATCTTGGACACATTCTGAGGTGTAGTAAGCAAGTACACTGGGTGATTTATCATAGCTTGTTTATATAAACAAAAATAGCAGCTTGTCACTGGCCTTTACAGTAACCCCAATTGAGTTCCTGGCATGGTGTGTGGAATGCATAGAACTCTGTAGCTGTGATACACCTTCAAGTCTTCTGCCTCAAGAGCTTTCATATGTGTGTTTGGGAGGCTTAACCTGGAATAGTTAAAATTATGCTATTGCCCATCTTTTACTGAAATATTCTTTAGCCCCCAGAGTGTGAAAGGCCGAAATGACACCTTTTACCTGACACCTGAGCCGGTGGTGGCTCCCAACAGCCCAATTTGGTACTCAGTCCAGCCGATCAGCAGAGAGCAGATGGGACAGATGCTGACCCGCATCCTGGTTATACGAGAAATCCAAGAAGCCATTGCCGTGGCCAGCGCAACCACCATGCACTGAGGTGCCTCAGCCTCAGTACACAAAAAAAGAAAAAATCCAGGAAAAACCAGACAAAGACTTTTACACTAAAGAAGAGGCCTCCATTTTTTCTTTTCTTCTTCTTTTTTTTTTTTTTTTTTTTTTTTTTTTTTTTTTTTTTTTTTGTTTGTTTTGTGGGTTTTTTTTCCCCCCTCCGGACCTAATTGTAGTTACGATGCTTTTCAGGCTACTTCTGTTAAAAATGTAAAAGGCAGCATTGTCCCTTTGAGTCTTCATAGATGTGTGGGCAGACCCCTTGATTCGTGGGGCCTTGGGATTTTGAGAGCCAGATGTCCTAAGAAGTGGCTGGCTTTTATTCTTTCTCTTTTTTTTTCTTTTGTCTGGGGCATGGGGAAAGGGTCTTGGACTGTTGGGACAAATATGGGCCCTTCCCTTTCACAAGGAAGATGGAGCTGCTGATGGATCAATCTCCTGGGGATCTCCACCTGACTTCGCTTTGGACTGAATACATGGAGCCACAGTTTTTTCTTTATGCTCAGACATAAACTTAGCATCTTAATGAAAGAAAAATGAGAGGAAATTCAAATATGATTTTATTAAAGACAATTTCTGTTACACCCTCCTTTATGACAAGTGACATAGATGTTAAAGTAAAAACTTTACCATGCCTTTTTTTTCTTGGCCTAACATTGAGGCCTTAAACCTGAGGCTGCTGTGCCTGATGGAATTCTTGTAACATACACTTGTGTATCATATAAAGATACCACTCTTTCTCTTATGTATTATTATTCTAGTTGTTTATTAAGAATGACAAGCACGTCTTTTCAACATGCTAGTGGATAATGTGTCTTTATTTGGGGGAGGAATTTTTTTGGGAAAATAGAAACAAAACTGGAATGGGCCCAGATCCTGTGTGGGAAGGAGGGGACGGCGCTGGGAGGGACGGGACAAGAAACAGCCCTCCGAGAAAAGCCCCTATGAATGCAATGAGCATGCGTCTGTTCCTCTCTGCTATCTCCGCCTCCTTGCTGGGCGTGGCAACAGTACGCACGCCCTACGACCTGGCGTCCGCGACGCACGCTGCGTAATGACGAAATCGTCTGGTTTATATTGGCGCGGAGCAGACCGTGGAGGCCTCTGCGGCGCGGTCCTCGGAGGGGCTCGTTGGTGTCTCTTGCTTGTCATGGCGGACTACCTGATTAGCGGCGGCACCTCTTACGTGCCAGACGACGGACTCACCGCGCAGCAGCTCTTCAACTGCGGGGATGGCCTCACCTACAAGTGCGGGGCTAGGGCACCCACATGGGCGAGGCGAGGGGCCGGATGGGGGTTTCGTTGAAGGTCTGGGAGCGGACACGGGGAACAGGTTCTGGGAATTACGAATCTCCGGAGAATAACTTTGACAGGACTGGGTTGGAAAGGGTCGTTTCTACAGTACTTAGGACTTACGTCTCGAGACTCTGTTCTCTGGACACATGGAATTGTCAGTATGCAGGAGCACTAATGACAGCTAAGTCGGTGACAGAAAACTCGCTGTCCCTAATCCACCCATGCCATCTTGCCTGTGGCACACGGGGTCGATACAGCTCCCTGCTCAGAGCTTTATGGGATAGAGTTGGATTCTCTTGGTGTAGCCTGAGAGTCCTGCCTAATTCCCTCTACAGCGATTTTCTCATTCTTCCTGGGTATATCGACTTCACTGCGGACGAAGTGGTGAGTAAGATAATGGACTGGGTTTTTCTATTTTGTTTTTGAGATCATCTCCCTATATAACTTTGGCTGGTCTAAAACTAGGTAGGTTACCCATGCTGACCCCGAACTAGTGTCGACTAGTTCTGAGGGAATGCTGAGGTTACAGTAAGCATGTGCCACTATGCCCATTCTAGGAATTGGGTTGTGAACATCAAGGAGGGAGGATGGTGCAGTTGGTTGATTGGTTGTTTATTTTTTTGTTTTGTTTTGGTGTTTTCAAGATAGAGTTTCTCTGTGTAGCCTTGGATGTCCTAGAACTCTTTGTAGATCAGGTTGGCCTCAAACTCAGAGATCCGCCTCCCGAGTGCTGGGATTAAAGGCATCATCACGTCCACCTGGTGATGTGGTTTGCTAATGTAAGCAACACCAGAATGGGCTCTGAGGAGTGAGGTAGAGTAAATGGGAACGGTCTTTCTGGTGAGCACGCAGGTTGCCAGGACTGTTTTATGGACCCTGAGAAATAAGCGGTGTTTATCTCTAGTGGTTCTTTATCTCCTCAGGATTTGACCTCCGCTCTAACTAAGACAATCACACTGAAGACCCCATTGGTTTCCTCACCTATGGACACTGTCACAGAGGCTGGAATGGCCATCGCAATGGCGGTGAGCCTGGAGGGTCATGGGAGGACAAGGCAGGGTGCCATCTCTGCCAAATCTTGTGCCTCTTATTCATCGCCTACTTGTGTGTTCATCTTGTAGCTTACAGGAGGCATTGGTTTCATCCACCACAACTGTACACCCGAATTCCAGGCCAATGAAGTCAGGAAAGTGAAGGTCAGAAGGGCAAGGATTGTGGCCAGGTTCTCCTGGGAATTGCACAGAGGTGGAGTGGGGTGGGAGTGGAGGGTTTGTTCTGCTAACTGAGGGTCCTTTCTTCCAACTGTGGGATTCAGTTACTGAGGAGAAAGACCGAAGACCCCATTACTTGAGCTAGTGCACAGTGCATCCAGCCCAACCATGTCCTCATTAGAAGGATTGGTTTGGTTCTGTGGTACTGCCATAAAGGACAGATAGGCATGGACCTTATGGTTTACACCAGGAGGCCGATGAAAGTGATTTCAAAGATGCAATGACCTCACCATCTCTTCCAGAAATATGAACAGGGATTCATCACTGATCCTGTAGTCCTGAGCCCCAAGGATCGCGTGAGGGATGTTTTTGAGGCCAAAGCCAGGCATGGCTTCTGTGGTATCCCCATCACGGATACAGGCCGGATGGGGAGTCGATTGGTGGGCATCATTTCCTCAAGGGATATTGATTTTCTCAAGGAGGAAGAGCATGACCGTTTCTTGGAAGAGGTGGGTGCAAATAGCATAAAACAACCAATGTTTAACAACCCAGGCTGAAGGAAGGCAGTTTCTTTTTTTGCCTGTGTGAATTACTGATGACCTCATTTTCTGACCACGAAAAACACCTGGCCATGCTTTCTAACTTTTTCGTGAGGTTTTTGCATCCCTTCTCCCTGTCTCTGGTGACGACAGTGTCTGCTAGAATTCATGCTTTTTTGTTGTTGTTGTGTTGTTTTGTTTTTCGAGACAGGGTTTCTCTGTGGTTTTGGAGCCTGTCCTGGAACTAGCTCTTGTAGACCAGGCTGGTCTCGAACTCACAGAAATCTGCCTGCCTCTGCCTCCCGAGTGCTGGGATTAAAGGCATGCGCCACCACCGCCCGGCTAGAATTCATGCTTTTTATCTCACAAAAAAGTTAGTTCTTGAGTATCTTTCTGGTTTTCTTTGCTCTTGTGTGGTTTTTCCTTCTCCATGAGAGGCTGCTTCCTGTATTGTGTTCTTACTCAAGCAACACTAATTTCAATGGTGTAATGGTTACTGAGTGCCCATCAGGAGGGGCAGGATGCGATTATGGTGGTCCTTTGATAGTATGGTCTAAGGGAAAGGGAGGGTCCTGGTCTGACTGTCTGTCCTCATGACTCCTCTAGATCATGACAAAGAGGGAAGATTTGGTGGTAGCCCCTGCAGGCATCACTCTGAAGGAGGCAAATGAAATCCTGCAGCGCAGTAAAAAGGGTGAGTCCTGCTGGGCACTGGCAGCTCGGTCTGCAGAGAGGAACCCTGTCATGGTGGGGGAAGCCCTGAAAATGGGAAGGGGCACAGAAATAATCAGGGTCCTGTCTTGTCTTCAGGAAAATTGCCCATTGTGAATGAAAATGATGAGCTGGTAGCCATCATTGCCCGGACAGACCTGAAGAAGAACCGTGATTACCCGCTTGCTTCCAAAGATGCCAAAAAGCAGCTTCTATGTGGGGCAGCCATTGGCACTCATGAAGACGACAAGTATAGGCTGGACTTACTGGCCCTCGCTGGTGTGGATGTCGTGGTTTTGGTAAGCTATAGCGTCTTAAGTAGGGTGGGCCTGTAGGGCCAATTGCCATATCATGGTGTAGCTAGAACTTCTTCTTCTCCTAGGATTCTTCCCAGGGAAATTCCATTTTCCAAATCAATATGATCAAATACATCAAGGAGAAATACCCCAATCTCCAAGTCATTGGAGGCAATGGTAAGAGAAGATGGCCCTGGTGGATAAGGGTTTTTTTTTTTTTTTTTTTTGTGCTCCCTCCCCACCTGGACCTCATCATCCTTCTATTTCCCTGTAGTAGTCACTGCTGCTCAAGCCAAGAACCTCATAGATGCGGGTGTGGACGCTCTGCGAGTTGGCATGGGATGTGGTTCCATCTGCATTACCCAGGAAGGTAATAATATGCTTTGACTGGGGCCAGCGGCTCTTAGGGGAACTACACTTGAGTCCTCCAACATGGGCAACTCTAGGGCCATACAGGCCTCTTGGATGGGTGACATGGCTGGAAGCAAGACAAGTTCTTGTCGTTCCTCACCTGCCACTCCTTGCCTAGCCTGGCCTCCTTGCTCCTGCTCTGTGCCCTCTCTAAACTCTGGTCTGTTTGTTTTATTTAGCGGCTCCCAAGATCCCACCAGACATAAAGTCCCACAGCCCCAAATGCCCTTCTACTGTCAAGGGCTGCTATAGTAAGTCCGGCCCGGCGCACTGGCCCGGCCCAGCTGCCCACTGCCCGACTGCTTGGTTGACTGTAGCTGTAGCTCCCAGGGTTTGTGGTGCTGTTGGGGGGCAGGGCAAATAGATGTACAGACCATGGTTTGGGGGCTGCTTGAGATCACAGCTCCTTCTAGGGCACTCATAGAGTAGGACCTCCTTTCCGAGGCAGGCCCTGCTCTGCCCACGTTTTTTGCAGTAGGCATGGCTCAATCAGTTCTTGAGCCTGCTCTCTTCTACGTTACCACTGCCCTCATCTTGCCTGAGCTGCCCACTGTGCAGGAAGGGCTAGACCTGACTTTGTGCCTCTGGATACTAACTGCACGGTTACTCTTTCCCTATCTGATACCAGCTGGGCGGGGCTTCCCGGCTGCTATAATCTGCATGTGCCTGAGGCTGCACTGGGCTCTGAGCCCTGCACACATGCACGCGCACACTCAGAGGCAAAGCCAGCGTAACTTTACTATTGAATGAAGGCAGATGAGTAGCAGCCATCCCACACACATCTCTGTCAGCTATTGACTTGGTATAGGCATCTTTCGGAGCTCCGGGTCCTCTGAGTGGCCCCTTGTATACCACCCCAGTATCACACATCCTTCTGTTCCTCCATCTCTCAACAGTGTTGGCCTGTGGGCGGCCCCAAGCAACAGCTGTCTACAAGGTTTCTGAGTATGCTCGGCGCTTTGGTGTTCCTGTTATTGCTGATGGAGGGATCCAAAATGTGGGTCATATTGCCAAAGCTTTGGCTCTTGGGGCGTCTACAGGTAAGGCTTAGTCACCTTCGGGCTGGGTGGTACCCCCTTTTCTGTACTGATCAGATTCTTCCCTAGCTTACTTATTTGTTCCCAGTCATGATGGGCTCCCTCTTGGCTGCTACCACCGAGGCCCCTGGTGAGTACTTCTTCTCAGATGGGATCCGGCTGAAGAAGTACCGTGGTATGGGTTCCCTTGATGCCATGGACAAGCATCTCAGCAGCCAGAACCGTTATTTCAGGTAGGACAGGAAAATGACACCCAGCAAACCTTGCATTTCGTTTCATCCCTGTGGCAACATT